GCTATTACAAATAAAGCTACTATGCTCATTTGTGTACAACTGTGCATGTACATACAGTTTTACTTCTCATCGGTAAACACCTAGGAGTAAAAGTTTGGTCATATGGTAATCGTATTTTTAATTTCCAAAGAAACTAACAACTGAATTCTGACATGGCCATACTATTTTACACCCCCATCAGCAGTTGGTCCCTGTGAGCTGTATGTTCATTTAGTCAGAGAGCACATGCATGACCGCTATGTACATGTATTAAGAGAGAAACATCCCTTCTCTGTGTAGTGTATACTACATATGAACAAATCCATTTTATAGGAACTGGAATATAAACTATTACTAAATGTTGTAATGTAGACTACAAACAATGAACAATCCCTCAGATTACTGCATGTCTTTGGTTAATTGCCAAAATACTGAAGTGATTCTTCTATCAATTCTGTTCAACTTCATTGTTACCTTCTTGGGGAAAGTATTTATTAATCTTCGTACTCCACCACAGTCAGATATCTTGTCTCCAAAAATGTATTTTTGAACAAATATTTAACTGTAATATTGGATTATTACTTTAAACTTATTTTATCAATATTTCTTAATATAAAAAATACTAAACATGAGCATCATACTCCATACTCAGATTATAAACTGCTAAACAATTCTGAAGTCTTTGTGTACGTATAATTGTTTTTATATATAAAGTAAATATAACTCTAATATCTTTTATTTGGTATTACCAGGAACAGGGAAAAATTTATCTAATGCCCTCTCCCCCAATAATCACAGCAAAATTAAAATTTCCTTTCTGTATTCATTGCTTTTCCAGTTCATAACCATTTATTCTATTAGAAAATTTGTCAGTGATCTTGATTATAACTCACAAATGTTGAATGTAATTTCTACATCTTCACTTGAAAGATATTTTAGGAGTATAATTCATTCAAAATACATATACCAATTGTTCCATACAGGGTAAAATTCCAAACTTTGAACCAGCCCATTCGAAACATTTTATAAGGCAGAAAAATGAATGGTGTTCCTTGAACACCACTCCTCAACAATTTAGAACACATTTTATTATGATTAAAATGAATACAGGCATTATATAAATATGTAAATGGAAGTTTCAATGTATTTAGAGTTTATCACCAATTGTCATTAAGATTTTTAAAGCCAATTAGAAGTAGATTCCAGAATTTTCCTGTTTCAAGGAAATAAACAACATAATTGAATTGGGAAATTTGAGGAGAGTTTAATAAAGAAAACCAAATACAAACATTATCAAGACAAAACAGAGGATGGAACAGGTATCAGAGCCCAGAGACAGAGAGCAAGTTGGGGAGAGAGGGCTTTCTGACGGGAGCTATGATTTTTTTTTTTTTTTTTTAAATCTGATCACCATGTCACTTCAATAACCATTCTGCAGAGAGAAAGCCAGAAAAATAAATAGTTCCCACTCAGTTTTCTCCCTGTCACTGATCTCCCTCTGGTATTCTCCACTGGTTATATACTCTTGGAAGACAGAGGACAGGGATTCCCTGATGCATTCCTTACAGGTCCCCTTTCCAGGGCACAGAGCATATTGGGGAAGGTGGAAATGGATCTTGGGTGGGACAAACTGGAGGTATCCAAGATACTGCCTTCAACCTCATAGCTTCAGCTCTCTTTTTTTCACATATATGTTTGCGAGTAAGATTTATTTAAAAGAGTATAATGTAGTAAATTCTTTTGTAAAATTATAGTCTATTCACAAAATTATAATTAATTAAATTTTCTAAAAAAGCACATGTCAAGACTTATGACTATTTCTTATGTTTTTACTTTGTTGTGATTGTGTACATTTAGAACCAGGAGGGAAAGGATGACGTTAAAAAGCATACTAAAGTAATATTTGGCCCTTGATTGTGATTTTTCCCATGCTTATTTTAGATGCATATTTAAAATGTTTTAATTGTACTATGTCTATATTCACAAACATGGACAATCCAAATGGGGGAAAACACGGACCATTTTTCTGTAAGTATTTGCTTTTAAAAGTAACAACTATAGAATAATGTTCAAATATCTTTCATGTTGCTATAAGAAGAATAACTGTCCATTTTTACCACTCTGTATCTATAATGAAAACTCTAGAGCTATAGAATTGCTTCCTGCAATTGCTTTAATGGAATTCTCAACATGCTAAGTTTACTTTAAAAAAAAAAAAGAACTGATAAAACAAGACACAAAATATGCATTTTAGAAGGCCTTGAAGGAAAATATGCTCAACCTTGCCATTATTAGTTTAAAACACCTAATTCCAATCTCATATTTTCTTTACTAATGATTACTGTAAGCCTTTAGCTTCAGTTTAAGGAATGCAGTATGTATGTATGTATATAACACATTATAATGTTGGCATTTTATCACATTTGTTTTACAACATTTCTTATCATTGGCAAACTTGAGGGAAATTTTTACTACAGTGGTTTTTTTATTATTATTTTTTAAAGATTTTATTTATTTATTTGACAGAGAGAGAAAGCTCACAAGTAAGCAGAGAGGCAGGCAGAGAGAGAGAGGGGTAAGCAGGCTCCCTGCTGAGCAGAGAGCCATACAGGGTCATCCCAGGACCCTGAGACCATGAACTGAGCTGAAGGCAGAGGTTTAACCCACTGAGCCACCCAGGCTCCCCTTTACTACAGTGTTTTTTTAAAAAGCCGTGTAAAACACCAAGAAAAACACATTGTTAAACAGAAAATGTGAGTAAAAAGCCTTCATTTTCACATATTTAGTCTTAAAGTGGTTTATTCCACCAAATTTCTTAACCCCATGTTATTCATAATTTTTAAGTTGGTTTTCTCCATATTAATGGAGTTCAAAAACTTGATTTCAGATGGACCATATTGATTTGCAGTTCAACACAAAATTAATTGCTCTATTTGCTATGCCCTTAAACAAGTTCAAAATGCTCCAGTAAGAAATGGACCACATCCTCACATGTTCATTGTCTGAGAAAATTAGTGTTCACCAGATAAAATCATTGCTAAGATACCAAGTCTGTTTTACATCTCAAGACCTTTACCTACTCTGGCTAATTTCTAGCATTTGCAAAATATACCAAATTATATTTTTTCTACTTTATTAGAGTACACAGATGAAACTAACATTTTCCTATAAAAACTTTGATTTTTAAGATCTGTTATCGTTTTAAAAATATTAACATATTTAATGAACATATGCTTCTGCATTTTGAAAGACAGTACTATGTATTCATTCTATGTATTTATTACACCAATTCTACCTTACATATTTAACAAAAGAATTTCTTCTGGAGCACACAGTTTTGTTTTTTCCCGTTTCCCAAATTAATAGGTATTAATCAACCTATGATCTATAATACTGTCACATTAGCATAGAAGTAATCAGCTTACTGTCAGGTTTATTCTCATTTCCAATTAACTGAACAAAATAACATGTGCTGAAGCCGTGGAGTTGAATAAAATCACCACAGTTCCAATCCATACTGGACCTCATGCACACATGTTGAGTAAAATTTAAGAAGGACCCAGATCCATTTAAAAGCACTTCCCCCATTATGTCTGTGACATACCATGTACCAAGTCCCAGAAAATAAAACCTCAGACCTCACCCTCAGTGGCTTCCCTGTCACCTTTCATTCACATCCTAACAGAATACAATTTCCACCAATTTCACTGTCTAAATATCTTTCAAATTTGTCCTGATCACTGCAACCATGTAATCCTTCCTTTCTTTAAATTCTTCTTAAAAGGTCTTTCTGCCTGTAGGTACTCACCACCTCGGTGTCCCTCCCTTGATTCAAATCTCTCAGGATCTCAGAGTCACTAAGCAAATGAAGCACAGATTCTTTGGTGAATCAAGCTTGAAAACATGACCCCTACCTACTTTTTCATCTATAGACCCACCCTCACATATCCACTTGTATATTGAAGAGCCTACAGTATTTCCCATCTCCATAGTTTGTGCAGTGTACTTTATGCTGGAAATGCCTCATTGGCCTGAAAAGATTCTTTGATACACACAAATCTTGCATAAACAGTCTCATGGGAGAAGACTACACTGTTCCTCCTTCCTTCCAGAACAGGACTTAATTATATATTTTCCTTCAGGTGAGGTCCATTTTTTTTTCCCTTCTTGTTTCCAATGACTAAAACACTTCTTTGTACATTATACCCAATCAATCACTATCATAATGAACTCTTCATTAGAATATAAAAATAATATGTGTGTGTGTGTTCATACATACAGGACAAGTGGTTGAACTTAATTCTCAATTATTTTACAGTGAGAAAAGCAGCTTATGTTGCTAAAGTTTTTTTAACAGTGCTGTCACCAGAAAAAAACACGTATCAGTTATCTGATCTTTCTGATAGGTTTAAACAGTATTCCAAATCTACAGCTCATCATCTTTTACCACCACAATTTTCTTTAGATACTCTGTGTGTTCTGCCAGATTTCTCTGGTAATAGTTAAAAAAAGAAATAAGACTGTGAAAAGAAGGGGCACATGGACCCCAATGTTCATAGCAGCAATGTCCACAATCGCCAAACTGGAAGGAGCTGAGATGCCCTTCAACAGATGAACGGATAAAGATGTGGTCCACATACACAATGGAGTATTACTCAACCCTCAGAAAACATGAATACCCAACTTCTGCATCAACATGGATAGAACTGGAGAAGATTATGCTGAGTGAAATAAGTCAGGCAGAGAAAGACAATTATCATATGATTTCATTTATATGTGGAACATAAGGAATAGCATTGAAGACATTAAAAGAAGGAAGGGAAAAATGAGGGGGGGGAAATCAGAGGAGGAGACAAACCATGAAAGACTATGGACTCCTGGAATCAAACTGAGGATTTCAGAGGGAAGGGGGGTGGGGGGATGAGTTGGCCTGGTGGTGGGTATTAAGGAGGGCATGGATTGCATGGAGCACTGGGTGTTATACACAAACAATGAATCTTGGAACAGTGCATCAAAAACTAATGATGTACCATGGGGCACAGCATCCTGATATGAAAAAAAGAGTAGAAGATGCATACATCCTCACATGCAATGTGTCATTAGAATATGAAAAAACAGAGGTGAATTCTGGCTTTTTTTACAAGAGTGCGGAAGAGAGAGAGAAGCTTGTGAAGGCTGAAAGAAAATTCATTGAAGATAGAGTTAAGAAAATAATAGAATTGAAAAAGAAAGTTTGTGGTGATTCAGATAAAGGATTCGTTGTTATTAATCAAAAGGGAATTGACCCCTTTTCCTTAGATGCTCTTGCAAAAGAAGGTATAGTAGCTCTGCGTAGAGCTAAAAGGAGAAATATGGAAAGGCTGACTCTTGCTTGTGGTGGAGTGGCTCTAAATTCCTTTGATGACCTAAGTCCTGATTGTTTGGGACATGCAGGACTTGTCTATGAATATACATTGGGAGAAGAGAAGTTCACTTTTATTGAGAAATGTAACAATCCTCGCTCTGTCACATTATTGATCAAAGGACCAAATAAGCACACACTCACACAAATCAAAGATGCAATAAGAGATGGCTTGAGGGCTGTTAAAAATGCTCTTGATGATGGCTGTGTAGTTCCAGGAGCAGGTGCAGTGGAAGTGGCAATGGCAGAAGCCTTGATCAAGTACAAGCCCAGTGTAAAGGGCAGGGCCCAGCTGGGAGTTCAAGCATTTGCTGATGCATTGCTCATTATTCCCAAGGTACTTGCTCAGAATTCTGGTTTTGACCTTCAGGAAACACTAGTTAAAGTTCAAGCAGAACATTCAGAATCAGGTCAACCTGTCAGTGTGGACCTGAACACAGGTGAGCCAATGGTAGCAGCCGAAGTAGGCATATGGGATAACTATTGTGTAAAGAAACAGCTGCTTCACTCCTGCACTGTGATTGCCACCAACATTCTCCTGGTTGATGAGATCATGCGAGCTGGAATGTCTTCTCTAAAAGGTTGAATTTGAAGCTTCCTTCATGTCATCCGAATCATGAAGACTATAGAGTGATCCTAAGAATACAGCAACAGAATTTTTGTCCAAGGTTCAAACAATTTTCAAAAGCATTTTCTTTTCCCATATTAAAAAAAACACTGACACTTAAATTCTGAAGTTCTGAAATTAGAGTATTTTTTTTAAATTGCACGGCAGTGTACACCCATCAAGCAGGCCGTTTTTACCCAATGAGAAGGATGTTTGCTTTAGCTTCAGTGATACAAAAGTCCCGTGTTAGTTAAGTATATGTTATCTACCTTGTTATTAAATGTAACTTGAAGAAAAAAAAAAGAAAAAAAAAAACTAATGATGTATTGTATGGTGTCTAACATAACATAATAAAAACAAAAAAAATAAAACAAAATAAAATAAAATAAAGAATTTTTGTGATAAATAGGGCCTAGATACACTTGATCAAAAAACATAGTCACTGGATATCAACTTTAATTGTAGTACTAGGGGGTAGGGGGATAGGGTAATGAGGTGATGGACATTAAGGAGGGTGCATGATGTAATGAGCACTAGGCGTTATATAAGCCTGATGAATCATTGAATTCTATCTCTGAAATTAATATATGTTTATTAGTTGAATTTAAATTAAAAAATAAAATAATTCTAATTCTAAAAAAGTAAAAAAAAACCCTTAAATTAGCACAGTAATATATTTAAAGAGCTGATGGTATTCACTAATTTTCCCCATTTTTTTTTGAAATTTCAGTTTTTTGAAATATAACATAAATACAGCCAAGTACATACACTCTAAATGCTCAAGTACATGAGCATCCCTGTGTAACCATCAACCTGGTCAGTAAACAGAATACCAACAGTGCTTGTAAGCCCCCACTATGCTCCCTCCCAATTACTATTCCCTCCCTCTTTCCAGCAGTAATCACTCTTTTCATTTCTAACCCCCGAGATTTGAACTTAGTAACTTCATATAAACAGAATCATATGGTAAATACTCCCTTGCGTCTGACTTCTTTAATGTCCGTAAATTTCATCCACGTTATAGCACATAGTTGTAAATTTCATCATTTTCATTTCAAAATCATATTCAATTCCGTGAATTTACCACAATATCTTATCCATTTCACTGTTGATTGACAGTCAAATGGCTTCAGTTTGGTATTGTGAAGAAAAATGCTGCTAAAGGTACTGTAATACCTAATGATCTCAGAAATATTATCAGTTGCAATATCTCATGATCACAGAAAGACTGCAATTAACGTTCTGTACCAAGTAGTCTCCCTATGGTTCTTTCCAGATCTCATGTGCAAAGAACCTATTTCTTCCTTGTAAAATGAGGGCATCTTAAGTACCAGAGAGGAGTTAATAATTATTATTATAAGTAGGAGTTTCAAAAAAATGCTTTTTGGATTACAATGAAACTTATGGTATGTTTTATTATTTTATGCCATGCTCTCCTTTATATGTTATGCTTTATTTTCCAGAGCTTGTAATACATATTATGTCATATGTGACACTGTTCTTAAAGAGAAAGCTTTCTGGGGTAAATGAAGATAAACCCATGTCTCACCTGAGAAATGGGGCAAGGTGGAGGTGACAGACAAGTGCAGGAGCCTAAGAGGCACTGGCAGTGGGATGCAAAGATTTTGTAACAAGCTGAAGACATCTGAAGGCAGGATGGAAAAAGCATGAGAAGACCACGTGAAGATCGACCTCTACAAAAAAGCACTGAGCAACAGCTATTTATCAAACATCATGCTAGGTCCTAGGAATACTGAAAAATAGTCTTGTTTTTGAAAAAAAAAATTATAGTTCACTAGTAAGGCAAACTTGTAAAAAGAGAATTACTATAGAATAGGATAATTGATCTCCATAAGAAAGATAATCAACATCTTTAGGACTAGTTCAAAAGAAGAAATGATGAATACACGAAAAGCTGTGTTCATCCACGTTTTCTGGCCTGGTGGAATAGCATGCTGTATTATGAGTGATATGCCACTGGTAAGGAAAATGAGATAGAAAGTCTTTTTGTAGAATAAAAGAAAATCATCAGAGTCCATAATATAGACTAGTTTTCAAAAATGACTCAATTCTGTTCTGCAAACAGTTATTGAACACCTGTCGGGTGTAAGGCATAGAGATAACTGTAGGCACACAAAGGTAAACATGACATAGGATCTGCTTTCAAGAAGCTTAGAACTGAGTAGACGACAATCAGCAAACAATGCATAAAAAAGGTGGTGTCATATTACTGCCAGGCTTGTCTGGGCTTCTATGGTGGGAACAAGACAGAGAAAGAGTGTAATTTGCAAGACGAAAACATGGGATGTGAATGGAAATCCCTATTAGCTTCATCAGTCTTTGTTTTTCTGCCATGGCGATGCCTAATCCTTTTTCTAGTTAAAAGAACACTCCATAATGGGAAACACACAAAGCACCATCCTGCTCAAACAATGGTAGGGGGTGGAGATTAATTTCCTCCATTTCTAGATTACATCATAGGGAGATTCAAGTAATGTTCCCTTTCTTTGGTCAATGCAATGTTTTCAGTACCAGTATGAACCAACACACTAATTTCTGAAATCCTGGAGCAAGCAGCAGACTCCAACAAATTTTCAATGGCTTATAATGGAGAGAATTTTCAAGAGTCTTCTGGAGGAATTGGAGACTGCTATGGGATTGCTAGAAGTTTAGAGTTAGTGATTCACTTCCTCAAGGAAGTGCAAATAACCGCAAATAACCGGTTTGAATTATATTTGACAAAGCACTGAATACCAAATGTGTAGACAGCACAGTAACTATCACTAGAAAGAATTAAAATAAGCTAAAATTTTATTTTCTTTAACTAAGGAGCCTAAGATAGGGTTGGTGCTCTAGAGTAAAAACTTTGTAAGCAGTTTAGGAGAATGTAGCCTCTTCCCTGCAAAAAAGAGGAGTATGATTACTAGGTGAGGACGGTCTGAGGAGGATTATGCAAGAATATACTTTTTAAAATATGTCTTAAATTTAAAAAGTAAAATACGTCTTGAAAGAAATAAAAGATGAGTTTGCAAAAAAAGAGATATCCGTATTAAAGAGAACAAAGGACAGAAAACATACATGCCAGGACATGAGGTCAGAATAGATATATGGGGAAAAAAACCAGAGGGGTTAAAATAAAGCACACAAGGAAATAAAGGTGTTGCATGACCTTGAGATGGGGGGAGGGTCTGGAGGCTGAAATAACTCAGGGATTAGAGTAACATAAACATGAGGTGCCAGGCAGAATTTAACAGAGGAAAGGAAAATTCCTTAAGATATGGAGACAAAGCCATCAACAGATCTGATTGGCTGGTTCTATACTAAGAAAAAGTAATAGGCAGGATTAAGTAGAGTTAGGCTTTAATTCTGGATTATCAAAAAAAAAAGAGAGAGAGAGAGATAGTGAGAAGAGAATGCGTATGTGTGCATGGGTGTGTGCGCGTGTGTGTGTGTGTATGTGCATGTCTAACGGCCAGGAAGGTGAGAGGTGGAGAAGAAAGGGAAGGCGTGGAAAATGTGTTAAGGTTATCTATGTAATGTGGGGAAATGATTTTTCCTCTCCCTTCTTTTCAACTGCAGAGAGCTCGTAATCATGAACATGTCCTGCTAGAGAACTCCAACAGCCTATTTCCTTCTATGTGGCTGAAGAGTCAAGTTCATGATGTCTTAGGGACTTGGAAAACTCACAAATAACAGTGTTCATTAATCACGCTGGCTAAATTCCTGAGCTGGAGACAGAAAAGTATGGAAAAGTGCAAAATTCTAGGCTTTCCCTAACGTTATTTTAACTTACTTTCTGACAGAGAAGTTCAGGCTTGGGTTTACACTGTTGTTGAAAGAAGGGTTGGAATAGCACCTGCTTTGTCTTCCACACCATAAATCTCCACAGCACAGAACACTGCATGTTTCACACACAACAGAAAAGATACATCATAGCCATTAACCTTCCCCTTAGTTGCTGATAAAGTAAAATAGACCCATTCTTTACAGAAACACTTAAGTATCTGTTCAGATAAATATTCTTCTAGCTGCAATGAAGACTTATTTTAACTCCAAGATCATTTCTGCATAAACAATGAGTGTATATTTAAAATCCATACGATGGGAATGCAAAAATAGCACTTTAAAAGCGAAAGTACAGCAGTTAATTATATTAAAAACATCACATAAATAGGCTGAAAAGTCTCCCTCTCTCCCTTACCCTCTCTCTAAACATTAAAGAAATAAAGGCAGGATTCTCATTAGTAAGTTGATGGAGATTTAAGATGACATATTGGAAAAGGAGAAGTGTACCTGTCAAATGACCAAAGCCGGCAGAAATAATTCTCCTTTGCAATCCTTTTAAATCTAGGATTGTGTTGAAGTTCACTTTCTCTTTTGGCAGAGTGCCATTTTTTTTCCCTGAATAGTCTCAGTTGTTAGATTTCTGATGCTAAACAGAAAAGGCCTGCTAAGAGGTGAAAACTTTTTAAAACAGGCAATAATTAAGGCATACTGAGCTGAAAAAAATTAACATTGGCTCATTTGTGGTTTTTGTCAACTTGGTGCAATGAACTGTTTTAACTTCCTTAAGTATAACAGACTTGAAAATGCCCAATGTAGGTAGAACAATTGCCTGGGAAGTAGACTGGTAGTTGCTTAGGGCTGAGGGACCGCCTGTGTGAGGAGAAACAGGAGTGAGTGTTAATGGCTGTGAAGTTTCTGCAGGGGATGGTTAAAATGTTCCAAAATTGATGGTGGTGAGGGTTACACAACTCCGTGAATGTATAAAAACTACTAAATTTTGTATTTTAAATGGGTGAACTGTACAATATGTGAATTTTATCCCAATAAAGATGTTATTTTAAAATGAGAATGAGCCTTTCTCTGTTTGGCAGAAGTTGATAAGTGGTGTGTGGGAGTACATTCATAGTTAAGACTGAGATTTTTCACTATTACTAACTCAATAAATGAAAAGATAGCCCAAATTAAAAATAGGTAATGGTTTTTAATACACATTTCTCCAAGAAGGTATACAAATGGCCAATAATTATACGAAAAAATGTTCAAAATCATTATCAAGGAAATGAAAATCAAAACCACAGTGAGACACCACTTCATCCCCCCTATAATTAGTTATAATCAAATAATGAAAAATTCTAGAACTAAGTAATAGTAATAGCGCACAACACTGTCAATGTACTTTATACCACTGTGTTGTACACTTTAAAATGCTTAAGATGGTAAATCTTATGCTATATGTATTTTTACCACACAATAAAAGACAAATAATTACAACTGCTGGTGTGGAGATAGAGCAATCAGAAC